TTTATTATCTTACCATTGTACCACCCGCTGCGTGACTGCAGTGAGATTATGCGACCAATTTGTTCACCGCAAAAGGCTGATGCATCCTTGCATATGGCAATGCTGTCAGTCGACTCGCATAACGCTCCGTAAGCCTCGCACTGAGGCCCTACTTCTTGAATCTTGGAGCAGACTGTGGAATTGAAGCCGACGCCCAGCTTCGTTGCCACGCCATCAGGAGTACATCCAAACTCATAGTTGGACGTTGCCAGATCAGCTCCAAGTGTGCCGATAACCGCGTTCACGAGGATGATGGAACCGAGTGGGTTGGGAATTGCTCGTGCGGACTGTACGTCGGATAGACCTGCTAGCTTGTGCATGAATGCAGGAGCCCATCGGCCCCCGTATGACTCACCGGCAATGTGCAACACATTTTTGGAGAGCTCTGGGAACTCTTTGGTGACAAAGTGGTGCAAGAAGTCGACAAAGTCTTCAGTGGCCGCCTCGAGCGTCCTCACTCGGTGTTTGTCACCACGGCCGGCCGTGGAGAATCCGACGCCGCGGGCTGGCTAGAAAAGAATGATGACAGATGAGTATCACGGGAAAAGATGAGTGAGGAATCCTGCCCAAGACATAGAGAAAGACACACTTACTCAAGTATAAGGAGGTTGGCATGCTTGGCCCAGTGATACGGGTTGTGATAAGTTGAGTTGTCGGTCGTATTAACCCAGCATGGGCCGACTTCGGTAACGGCAGCTAGGGTGCTGGCACCTCCGGGTCCTCTTTCAGGTTCGGAATCTGTCAGCATGGGGTTCTCAGAGTACAGGAACGTGAACAAGGCGCACCCAGTCAGCCAGACAAGAAGAGGATCATGTTCAGGATCGGAGGCGCTCGAAAATAGCCCTGCAGGATGTGGTGACTATTAGCAACAGTTATATGCAAGCTTTAAGAAAGAAAAGAAAAATTTGGGCAGGAACACCAACAATAGAAAAGTTCCTTGCCGTGACCGAGGCCAATCGATCCAGTAAAGTGCTTTGTTTGCGCAGGGCAGACGGAGTCGTCCAACTGTCGATGCGGAATTCCGACGCCGTTGTCTGCCGGCTGCGGCAAGGCATCAGTCCTCCCGCCTTGCAGGATGGTTTGCGATGCGAGCAATGCCGTGGGGAAGAGTAACATGTTTATGCCTGAGCGCGATACCGAATTGCGTAATGGTCTAACAGCAGAAGTTTTAGGAAAGCTATCGGGCTATACTTCAAGAAGTCTATATGAAAATATATCACGTCGAGCCCTTTTGAGTTGAGGCAACTGGCGCCGCTAACGCGCGGTGCTTACTTACCCAATTTAGATATGGAACCCTGTCCATGATTGCGGGGAAGGAAGAGCGGCAAAGTACAGATATGTACCAAACAAAGCTTATTAGCTAGTTTAGTTTTGAGGGAGGTGGTTTGGACTTCCAATTTGAGGTTGGCTCCTTGCGATGAGTTCTAGCTGTGACATTACGTTCTCGTCGACTTGACTTCTCGGAGTGCTTACAAACTCTACAGTTTTAGGCGGGATTGTAATTGAAACACACCATGTCACTACTACGTATGTAGTTCACCAAGCAACAACGGGTTTTTGAAGCTACTGAATCCCGTCCTTACCCTTCGTTTTAATTACATATAATCCTATATCAAGATATTACACGAAGCCTTATCGCCATATGGATTGTCTTGATTATAATGTTACCAAGCGCAATATTTACTATCGACTCTTAAATCCGCGCCCGTTATTTCCGTCGCCTAGCAGAAAGAGGACAGGCGCGCGAAACTTATTTACCGTGCTTAGACGGAAAAGTATATTAGAGTACGCATGATAGGTTTTGCTGAGATGATTTTGGAACCAGGAAGACATGAAACATATGAAGTTCATCACCTACCTGTATTGACATTTTTTGTGTCGGCAATTGCAATTAGGCATGCAATGTTGTCCGATTTAACTACGTTTCAAAGAATTGAAGAACTATAAGGTTTCTTAAGGGTCGTGAAGATGATAGAGTAAATGCTGCAATTAATTGATTCCAGGGGTCTCCCGTGTTGAATTGAATGCCTGGTACATAGATGCTTGAATAAAACAAATGACATAAATATATGACATCGTAAAGAAATCACAGTTTCAGGGCAGATAATAGCCATATTCTATATGATTTCTCTGGCGACACCTTCGGAGATGACATGCCCGAGGCAAGACAATCCGTGCCATTTTGCCGTCATACAAGGAACGGGCGAGAAAGAGGGCTTCGCTACTCTCTACAACATTCAGTTCGGTGTGGACATGGCCCGGCGATGGTCGGGCCGGGGGGGGGGGGGGGGGGGGGGGGTCCGCTATGGCTACTAGGTTAAGTGGTTTTGAGATGCACGCGGACCTGCGCCACTCCGCTACCTGATCAGCTGGAATCCACACGATCAAATACAATCAATCCTTCAGCAGATTCACCACGTAAGACACCTGCCAAAAAAGAAAGAAAGAAAAAACCAAGAAAAGAAAAACGCAAGACTTGATATATGGATATATTTAAGAGCATTCCTTTCATGTTTTCAGCAGTGCTATCTATCCTCATTGAGCTATTTTCTTATATTCGTTTCTCACAATGGACAACATCAAGGGCGTGGATGGCTTGGCCGTCAATACACTTCGCGCTTTATCAGTACGAAATACCATGTCTACTCTGTTATATACAAGACCATGGAGATGTAGACTAATACCAAGTATCACAGGCTGACCTTTCTTATCATGCCAAGTCTGGTCACCCCGGAGCGCCTATGGGCATGGCTCCAATGGCCCACGTCTTGTTTACAAAGTTTCTAGTATGTTGGTTCTACCTTGATGAGAAAATAGACCCGGTTCACTCACGAGATAGAAACTCAACCCAGCTACTAACAAGGCCTGGCTGAACCGTGACCGGTTTGTGCTTTCAAACGGTACGAAACCCCCTGTTCCCGCCTCCAAGAGATATTGAACATTGTAGGACATGCATGTGCTCTTCAATACGTTCTGTTGCATCTTTTGGAGTACGACATCTCCATTGATGATCTGAAGAACTTTCGGGTATGAAAAGAATCTCCAATCTCGAAAGGGACATGGAGAGCGCTAATCTGTTCTCAGCAACTTGGCAGCAAGACTCCGGGCCACCCCGAGAGCCACGAAACACCGGGCATCGAAGTGACTACAGGACCGCTAGGTCAAGGCTTTGCCGCGGCGATAGGATTAGCTATTGCACAGTCGCATATGGCTGCTCTCTACAACAGGCCTGGATTTGATCTTTTCGATAATCGCACCTTTGTCTTCTTCGGCGATGGTTGTGCAATGGAGGGCGTCGCCTCAGAAGCCGCATCGTATGCCGTCACCATGCATTCAATTGAGATTTGCAAGTATTAACAGATACATTTCAGTCTAGCAGGCCATCTTCAATTGGGCAATCTCATCGCCTTGTACGATGACAACTCCATTTGTATAGGTATGCTAATTGTTTGCAATGAGTACAGACACAAATGATCTTGATGTGCTAACAGCCTGAATACGCACAGATGGTAGTACGGAATCGACCTTTACCGAGGATGTTGACAAACGCTTCGAGGCATATGGTTGGCACGTACAGCGCGTAACTGATGGTATAACAGGCACCCTCTCATCCAATTCATACATACTAACAGTCACCAGGTGATTCGGATCTCGCCGCTATAGCTGCTGCAGTCGAGAATGCCCTAGCTGTCAAAGATAAACCTTCGATGATCAGGGTGAAAACAACCATTGGATACGGATCCAAATTACAAGGCACAGCAAGCGTGCACGGAAACCCACTGAAAGTGGAAGACCTGGAGACCTTCAAGCAGAAAATGAAGCTTAGCAACGAGCTATTCTTCGTCCCCGCTGAGTATGTCTTTCCCTCAATGGGCCAACAGGGGCTGACGTGACGATTGAAGAGTACAAAGCATTTATCGAGAAACAGCCAAATCTGGAGCCGAAGCTGAATCACGTTGGAATGATTTGTTTCTCCGATATGGGAATGCGCATCCTGAACTTCATCTCGAGCTTCAGAGGCGGATTGGTGGTGACCTTCCTGACTGCTGGGAAACACAGGTTGGCATGCTTTCATCTCCATCTCCAGAGCCTCACTGACCTTGTCTTTTAGTTGCCCGTCTACACTCCAAATGACAAGGTAAGGGTTGATCCACTTTTAATGTCTTTGCAGGTGGTTTATTGACACCGATAGCCCGTTGCTACTCGAAAAACGTCAGAATTTGTGCTTGACGCCATATACGCGCACATTCCGGAGATCCTGTCTGGCTCTGCTGATCTCACGTCTTCCAATCTGACTCGATGGAAAACTGCTGTTGATCTTCAAGCGCCCGTGACCGGCATTGGTTCTTTTGAAGGACGATACATAAGATGGGGAGATAAGTAACCCTCACTGTTATTATGATTATCCGCTAACTTTTCATTACTGAGGGAACATGCGATGTGAGGCATATTGAGTCGTGAGAACGTGTTACACTACTGACAAGACTAGGGGCGCTGCCATGAACGGAATTGCAGCGTATGGTGCCAATCTGATTCCCATCGCTGGGACATTTCTCAACTTTGTATCTTATGCTGCACCCGCGTTGCGGCTTTCGGCACTCAGTCAGCTCCGCGTCATCTGGATTGCCACCCATGACTCGGTGCGTCACTAGCATGTACCCAAAAAAAACTTATCCTGATGATTGAATAGATTGGCCTCGGAGGCGACGGCCCTACGCACCAACCAATCGAGACATTGGCGCATTTCCGCTCGGTGCCAAACCTGAATGTTTGGCGCCCTGCTGATGGGTATAGTCAAATCTCTGCCCCATTCCTCGATCCTGGCTTTTGCTAAACAGTTATGTCAATCAACAGGAATGAGACGTCTGCCGCTTACTACACGGCATTAATGTCCAAAACTACCCCAAGCGTGCTCGCCCTTGCCCGCCAAGATCTCCCGCAGCTCTCGGGAAGCTCTAGAGAGAAGGCGGCCCGTGGGGCCTATGTACTACTGGAAGATGAGAAAGCCGCCATCACGTTGGTCTCGACAGGCTCAGAGGTCAGTCAAATGTGGCCTATGGATGCGTATGTAAACTAACACGTACAAGGTCTCTTTGTGCTTGAAAGCGGCAGCCCTTTTGTCGAGCACGCATGATGTCAAGGCCAGAGTTGTCGTAAGCCTCTTTCTCTTCGCATTCTCTTGCATCCAGAAAAAATTAACTGGCGTAACAGAGCATGCCATGCATGGAAGTTTTCGACACGCAGCCTCTCAGCTATAAGCTTTCCGTCCTGACCCAAGGATTACCAATTCTTTCGGTCGAAGCATTGTCGACGAATGTTTGGAGCAAAGTGAGTAATTTAATGTCCAGCAAACATTCGACGGTGACTAACAAATAGTTTCACAGTTCTCACATGAGCAATTTGGTATCAATGAATTTGGGTTAAGTGGAACCGCAGACGAGTAAGTCAATGAAAATGTCGACATGTTTCCGTCAGTATAGCTAATACCTGTACAGTCTCTTCAAGGCATTCGGGTTTACTGCAGAGGGCATTTGCGAACGTGCGCTTCAGGTCATTGACTTTTACCGTGACGTACCAGCGATTCGGTCACCAGTTCTGACTGCATGGAACCGTAATATTGCCCTTGACTAGATCTCGATCCGGATCAGACGGCCCTGGTAATGAATTGGACGCCCTCGACGATGCATAACGGCGTCAAAGGTCCGGCCAAGCACCGAGCCCAGGTCTCAGCGTTTTGTCGTACCTACACCTAACTTTTCAATAAAAGATTTTGACTGCCTTTAGTTGCACTAAATTGAGTTCTCAGTCCTCCTCTCTCACCACCACATCACTCTGTGGATGGCCACCAGAACCGATTTCTAGCTTTCAACATCAAGTGAATAGTAAACTCATTCTCTCTCCCCAACCTTCTCCGTAGACACTCTAAGTCCTTAGATGTACCTACTTGCAATGAAACCCTGCTTCAATAGTGGGTAATATTCTTCCTTCACAAACAGGTTTCAAGTGGCATTCGCTCAAATGATTTGCGAGGGATGCTGTTTACATTACTTTAGCTAGACTAAACACTTTTCCACAACTTTATTTGTTCTTATTTTCCTCCATCCGAATGGATTAGCCTAAATGATGTCTCCGTCACCGGGGACAACATGGCGATCAATAAATGGAACATGCATTCAACCATTATTGTCGAAACATTGAGTCAGAGATTTGAACTATCTGTTTGGCCTAGTAAGCAGCTACATACATTAAACCTTGAGATAATACATGATTCGCGAAATTTCAACTGGTACAAACAGTGTTTACTCAACGTATTCCACGTGTCCAGCATCCTTCTTAGCCACAACTTTGCTAGAACCTTGATCGTTAGTGAAGAGGAGTTTGCCAGCCCCAAACAATTCCACCCGTGTCTTGCTGAATTTCCTTGCCGAGACCTTTTGAGCAAATAATGCGTCCAATTCTGCATAGTTGCGCCCTTTTGACTCGGGAAGGCGGAAAAAAGCCCAGATAAAACACAACGCACATAATCCCGCGTAAAGAAAACCAGATTTGGCTTTCCAGTTCCAGGCGCTGGGGTTGAGCATATAAGGGATAATGATGTTCATAACAATGTTTATGATGTTATACAGGTTTCTGCCCAGAACCACGGTCCGGGTACGCAGGCGGCTGGAGGGCATCTCGGGGACAAGAGCATAGCACACTGGGCCGACCGTCATGTCGTAGACGAATGTGTAGACAACCATCATGGATGCGACTGCCCAGGAGGTGGCGGTTGTCGACGACGGGATCCCTAGGCAGCCCGTGACCAATAGAATAATGAACTGGGTGCTCAAGCCGGCCAGATAGAGAGTGCGACGTCCAAACTGACCCATGAGAAACCAAGAAATGATTGTGCCAATGGCACCCATTCCATATTGACCCATGGCAATCGAGAAGGAATTCTTGCTATCCAGACCAGCTTGTTGGAAGAAATATGTCGAGTATCCCATGAACCCAGATCCGGATAAATTCTGGATAGCCCAAACCATGCAGGTGATTTCTGTGCGGCGGAGATCGGCGCCTTTGAAGCAGTCCCAGTATGTCGCTTCTGCCTCCGAGTTATTCTCGTACAGGTGTGTGTAGTGCATCATGGCCACGGCCGAGTCGACATCAAAGTCTGGATCAGCTTTCCGTGAAGTCAGCCGGGTGACGGCTAGCTTTGCATCGTCCAGGCGCCCTTGTCGAATTAACCACCAAGGCGACTCGGGTGCAAACAAGACACCAATTGCGATTGGCAAGGGCCATATCCACTGAATGGCAAAAGGGGCTCTGTATGCCCAGTCGGAGTCTTGACTATCCAGAAATGCCCGAAGCACGCCTTGACCTAGAAGTGTGCCGAAGATCCAGCACAAGTTGACATATGTGGTCAAATACCCACGGAGTGACACGGGGCAGACTTCAGACGCATAGACTGTAGTCAAAGTCTGGAAAACACCCCAGGGTATACCGCATAGTATCTCGCCAACTTGCAGAACCTCAACGCTCGGGGCAAAGAAGAGAATAAAGATGAGACCGGTAAGGAGAGTCAAGGACCCAATCAGTGTCCTGCGGTATCCGAAGCGCTCAGAGACATAGCCGTTGATGAACAGCCCGATAATCTCTCCAACGGATGCACCATTGGCCAGACCAGCTTGCCACGCCGCGGTCAGTTGGTATGAGCCATCGGGTTGGAGCTGTCCGTAGCGCTTCTGGAAGGGCGCAAAGGCAAAAAGACCTTGGAGGAGATTCACGTCGTACCCTTCCATGATGATACACGCCGAGATGATGGCCGAAAATGCTGTTGCTTTGGGATAAAGTTTGAGACTCTGCCAGAGAGTCATTTCTGCCTCTTTCTTTGCAGCCTCGAGAGCTTGCTGTCGGCTCTCCATGTTGTTCAACGAGGCTGTGGGGTTGTCAGACTTGGGCACGTCACCGCTCAGCCTCTTGGGCAGAGGATCGTCATGCGCCGCGGCGGCGGTGGCATCACTGCCGGATGACTTTGAAACCGGGACTTGATCAGTCATGTTGACTTATTCGAATCAGCGGTATGCATAAGTTTGGTTGTCAAAAAGAGTCACATTTGGGTAAGGGAATAGCTGGCAATTAATACTGCTGTCTACGATACTCGTCAAAGAAGCAAAATAATCGCCTCACTTAGCGTGTGGGGACCCCGCATCCCCATGGAGAAAGAATGATGTGATAACGTATGTTCGGTACATGGTTAGCGGAGCTTCATTGACAATATCAAGGTCTTTCACAACCTCGGAGGACGGCAGAAGTGACGAACGAGGCGGCCCGCCTTGAGAGCGTCTAGCGGATGTGCATGAATCAATTACCTCAGCTGAGAGATCCATGCTTGAAAAGATGGAGAAGACCAATCGAGCCAATGGTTCATGTCATTACATACTAGGTATGTAGCGCCGACCTAGTTACGATCAACTAGAACTATGAATCAGGCGGGCCGCTGGACATCGCTCATGTGTGAGTTCCAGGGTCAACTTAGGGCAGGCGGGCCGCCCGCGATTCTTCCCTCCGAGTTGGCTGCTACCATATTACTATGTCTGGTTTGATCTTCACACTATCATTTGTGTGAACATCGGTGGAGCAATGAACACATCGCAACCGGAACAACTGATCAGTCTATTGCAAGCTTGATCTTCGCCGTACGGGTACAAATATTACGATATGGACCTATGCATATTTATTGCAGTCTGGCAGACCAGTTCATTCACTTGATCCAATTCGCTCTGCAATTCTGCCACAGCAATCTCAGTATCGTATCCGGACACTTTGGAAATACAATGGCCACCAAGACAACAGCTCGTCCTCTAGAGGGGAAATTTGCCATAGTGACGGGTGCGTCCAGAGGTATGTTGACACATGTGGAATGACAAGGCCACCGTCGAGCCCTCGAACTAAAAAGTTTCAAAATAACAGGCATTGGAGCCGCGATCGCACGCGACCTCGCTGCCAAAGGTGCCAACATCTTGGCTACGTATACTTCCGATTCCTCGACCGATCTTATCAAGGCGCTGTGCTCTGATCTCGAGTCGACCCACGGCGTCAAGGCTGCCCCCGTCCAATCCGATCTCAACGATCCCGAAAAGTCGAGTCTCGAGATTCTCGAAGCAGCAAAGGAATTCTCCTCAAAGGTCGGAGGAGGAGAACTACAAGTCGATATTCTGATCAACAATGCTGGAGTCGGTGGCGACTACAAGCTGGGCGAGGTTCCCGTGTCCGAGTTCCATCGCATGTACGGTGTCAACGTCTTGGCTCCATTATGCGTGACACAGACTCTGTTGCCTTACCTTCCAAACGATCGGTCTGGACGTATCATCAACATTAGCAGTGTGGCGTCCAGCATGGGTTTCCTGACCCATACTCTATACGGCGGCACCAAGGCGGCTCTTGAAGCCATGACTCGCACCTGGGCCCGTGAATTATCCGAGCGTTGCACAGTTAATGCTGTTAACCCTGGGCCCGTGGAGGGCGACATGTACTTTGCTGCTGGCGAGAAATTCTGGAAGCAGCTCGAGCCTTTTCAACTCAATTGCCCATTGAGCGCCGTTCGCCCAGAGGTCGACGATCCCAAGCTAGTGAAACTGGCAAACGAGAAGATGGGTGGTCGTAGACCAGCGTACTGGAAAGAAGTCGCCGCTGTGGTGGGAATGTTGTGCGGACCAGATTCAGCCTGGACCACCGGCAGTGTTATCTGCGCAAATGGAGGATTCAAATTCCAGACGTAAAGTGCGAGTTTGATCAAGCAAAGCACTATTTGATAGAAACCAAATTACACGCCCTACACTTGGAATGCGCTATAATCCATGTTTGGATCACTGCATTGTGTTTGTCTGTTCCGGCGTGATTGTATTCTAACTTTGTTGACGAATCTAGCCTCATCTTTGTGATGATATATAATCGATATTGATGATCAACTAAAACTAAGAAGACTTTGAGTGAAAGTCTCGCACTTTAGAATGACGTTTATGGAAAGTGCACTGGCTTGAAATCGCTGCGACAACGTCAGTTACATGACACGCGGAGCCCGGGCGGCCCATAGCTACGGTCTATAGAAGTCGATTTCATATGCCAATGGAATACAATGGACTTGTCTAATTAATCGCGATGGCTTGTACGCTTCGACCAAACTGTGTTTAGTACTGAACCAATGTGAAGAGGGGGGAAATGTACAATGTTGCACATGGATTAGAGCCAGTGATGTGGATCCTCGGTTCAGTACGGAGAGTCTCCTGGCGGGCCGCCTATGCCGCTGGCCATCGCGTTCCTGCGGGTACATGATCAGCTTAAGTCAAGGCATGGTTAGCGCAATTTGGCGGATGCGGCTATAATCTTGGAGTGCTGGACTAGCTCATGGCGGGCAGCATCCATGTCGCAACGGCCGGCGAGAATTTTCGCAAATTATTCAGCTATTCTCAGCTAAGCACGATATCCATCTCCGTGTTTATAGCCATGTTTATAGCGATGTAGAGATAGTATCGGTCTGTCTTATTGTGGTTCGTCAACCAACACTCGTACACCCTGCATGCACATGACCAAGTCACTATTTTGTGGGATTTACTAGGATTGGGACATCTTGGGTGGCTTCTTGTGATGTG